GCTCGGGGCCAGCTGAGCCCCCAGCTGATCTCGGGCTCCCCGCGGCCTTTCAAAGCGTCAGCGCCTCACAGCGCTCGGGGCCAGCTGAGCCCCCAGCTGATCTCGGGCTCCCCGCGGCCTTTCAAAGCGTCAGCGCCTCACAGCGCTCGGGGCCAGCTGAGCCCCCAGCTGATCTCGGGCTCCCCGCGGCCTTTCAAAGCGTCAGCGCCTCACAGCGCTCGGGGCCAGCTGAGCCCCCAGCTGATCTCGGGCTCCCCGCGGCCTTTCAAAGCGTCAGCGCCTCACAGCGCTCGGGGCCAGCTGAGCCCCCAGCTGATCTCGGGCTCCCCGCGGCCTTTCAAAGCGTCAGCGCCTCACAGCGCTCGGGGCCAGCTGAGCCCCCAGCTGATCTCGGGCTCCCCGCGGCCTTTCAAAGCGTCAGCGCCTCACAGCGCTCGGGGCCAGCTGAGCCCCCAGCTGATCTCGGGCTCCCCGCGGCCTTTCAAAGCGTCAGCGCCTCACAGCGCTCGGGGCCAGCTGAGCCCCCAGCTGATCTCGGGCTCCCCGCGGCCTTTCAAAGCGTCAGCGCCTCACAGCGCTCGGGGCCAGCTGAGCCCCCAGCTGATCTCGGGCTCCCCGCGGCCTTTCAAAGCGTCAGCGCCTCACAGCGCTCGGGGCCAGCTGAGCCCCCAGCTGATCTCGGGCTCCCCGCGGCCTTTCAAAGCGTCAGCGCCTCACAGCGCTCGGGGCCAGCTGAGCCCCCAGCTGATCTCGGGCTCCCCGCGGCCTTTCAAAGCGTCAGCGCCTCACAGCGCTCGGGGCCAGCTGAGCCCCCAGCTGATCTCGGGCTCCCCGCGGCCTTTCAAAGCGTCAGCGCCTCACAGCGCTCGGGGCCAGCTGAGCCCCCAGCTGATCTCGGGCTCCCTGTGGCCTTTCAAAGCGTCAGCGCCTCACAGCGCTCGGGGCCAGCTGAGCCCCCGATTATCCCGGGCTCCCCGCGGCCTTTCAAAGCGTCAGCGCCTCACAGCGCTCGGGGCCAGCTGAGCCCCCGATTATCCCGGGCTCCCCGCGGCCTTTCAAAGCGTCAGCGCCTCACAGCGCTCGGGGCCAGCTGAGCCCCCGATTATCCCGGGCTCCCCGCGGCCTTTCAAAGCGTCAGCGCCTCACAGCGCTCGGGGCCAGCTGAGCCCCCGATTATCCCGGGCTCCCCGCGGCCTTTCAAAGCGTCAGCGCCTCACAGCGCTCGGGGCCAGCTGAGCCCCCGATTATCCCGGGCTCCCCGCGGCCTTTCAAAGCGTCAGCGCCTCACAGCGCTCGGGGCCAGCTGAGCCCCCGATTATCCCGGGCTCCCCGCGGCCTTTCAAAGCGTCAGCGCCTCACAGCGCTCGGGGCCAGCTGAGCCCCCGATTATCCCGGGCTCCCCGCGGCCTTTCAAAGCGTCAGCGCCTCACAGAGCTCAGGGCCAGCTGAGCCCCCAGCTGATCTCGGGCTCCCCGCGGCCTTTCAAAGCGTCAGCGCCTCACAGCGCTCAGGGCCAGCTGAGCCCCCAGCTGATCTCGGGCTCCCCGCGGCCTTTCAAAGCGTCAGCGCCTCACAGAGCTCGGGGCCAGCTGAGCCCCCAGCTGATCTCGGGCTCCCCGCGGCCTTTCAAAGCGTCAGCGCCTCACAGAGCTCGGGGCCAGCTGAGCCCCCAGCTGATCTCGGGCTCCCCGCGGCCTTTCAAAGCGTCAGCGCCTCACAGAGCTCGGGGCCAGCTGAGCCCCCAGCTGATCTCGGGCTCCCCGCGGCCTTTCAAAGCGTCAGCGCCTCACAGAGCTCGGGGCCAGCTGAGCCCCCAGCTGATCTCGGGCTCCCCGCGGCCTTTCAAAGCGTCAGCGCCTCACAGCGCTCGGGGCCAGCTGAGCCCCCAGCTGATCTCGGGCTCCCCGCGGCCTTTCAAAGCGTCAGCGCCTCACAGAGCTCGGGGCCAGCTGAGCCCCCAGCTGATCTCGGGCTCCCCAGGTGCTGATGCTTTGAAATGCCTTGAGGAGCCTAAGGCCGGGCTCCCCGCGGCATTCAAAGCGGCAGCACTGCTCAGAGCAGCTGACCCTGGGCTCTTTGAAGTACCTCCCTTCTCCCACCCCCCAGCTGCCTCTATCTGATGGGGGGCGGGGGGGGGGGAACGACCAGTCAAGACTATCCTATCAACTTCTGATAAGCATTTTCTTATTGGATAGTGGACTAGTCCTTCACATCCCTACTGCAGGTCCTGCTCCTTCTCCTCCTTCCAGTTTCTTCCCAGGCTCCAGCTCTGGTGCAGTGCCTACTGAGAAAGGGGTGACTAGCAATGGGCTAGTAGCCAGCCAAAGAGGTTGGGGGTAGGTGGGCCTACTCTAGCTTGTATTCTGCTCTGAAAGTCATCGGCACTAGCAGCAGAGACTGGCCTCCAAATGTAGCTGGCAGCTGATGACAGCCTCCACGCCAAACTAGAATAGTAGATCTAGCTTCACCGTTCCCCTGTCAGCCA